GACTTGCGACTTCGTTAGCCTCGGACAGAGACATTTCAAGAGGGATATAAAAAATTTATATTTACTTAAATGTCTCTCGAAAACGTAATGATTATGTTATTGAACTGTTAATGGATTTTTTTTTTTTTGTCATTAGATGCTCTACAATCTAATATAATCATCAAACAATTAGGCAGTGTTTCTTTTTCAACAAATAAATCAATCTGATTCTTTTTTGGATACGTATAAAAATGTTTTTTAATTCAAATTTTAATAAAATACCTTCTCAGCTTTACGTCGAAGCTAAACTTTTTCGGAAGGTCTGCGTTTTTTATACTCAAAACAAATTAAAGTTTTTATAATTTACTTTAATATTAATCGATGAAAAACTTTCTAATGTTTCTTTTTTTTAAGTAATTTTGTCAAAATTTGTAATATTTCTTTTAAAATTTTTCAAGTTTGATCTTTTTTAATAAACAATTGCATTGGAGCGTTTTATGCAAGTGATGTTATTAGAGTCAAAATTCAATCTATACTATAGTCTAATAATCGTAGTAATAATAACTCACTATGCTGGGTCCCAATTGTACTGGATTTTTCAATTTATAAATGTTCATCTTCATACTAATACAAATTTTAAACTAATACAATTGAAAAAAATGGAATATCTTTCAAATATTTATCATTAGTGAATAATAATTTTTAGAAATTTAAGGCAAAAGTTTGTAATAAGCATTGTTGATAAAATTTTAAAATTCACAAGTTTAAATTATAATTTTTTTTAAATATTTATATATATTTATATTGTATATATATTTGTTAATATCTAATATATAATACCACACTATCGATTTTATAAGTCATCCTTAATGTTTTATAAAGATATGCAGTTTATTTTAAAATCGATGCATAACTTAGAATTTAATGTTTTTACTAAAATATGTTTTTTTTTTTAACAAACTTTGGTTAAAAATCCTATCTAAAAGGGTTTAGTTATAAAAATTGTCTAAATAAATTGTTAAATTCAATCTATACTCGTCTCTATTTTACCGAGACCTACTGTGTCATATCTCAAGTGTAATAGGTTTATTTTAATAGTAACATAAATATTTAATTAATAATTTAAAAAATAATAACAATTGAAAAGTATTTAATGATCGTTATTTTAAAATATTTTCAAGAATATCATATATTTCAGCTTACACTTTATTTTTTTAAAAATGTATAAGTTTTTAAAATAAGTGAATAATTTACTTTCTACTTATAATATACATAAATATCAGCCAAACTGTATAAAAAAAAAAAATTAAGTTTACTTGAGATCTATTAGAAATATACTATATAATGACGGTAATTATGATATCCACGCTATCAATTTTCGACTCAAAGTTTTAAAACTAAAAAATATGTACTCTACAATAAAAATCAAACTATTTTGATTTACTAATCATAATAATTGACCAAAAATTAAATAACAGAGGGCATTTTTTGTTTTTTTGCGGTATTTTTGGTCAAATACTAAGAACACGTTAAGCGACCAGTAAAATTGTTTTTTAAAAATCTCAAATCTTCACAAAACACCTATTTTATACATATAATAAAGTTAAAATGATTCTCATTAAAAGAATATCGACTTTATTTGATTTATCCTAATGTATATCTATGATTACGATAAATAATCATTTCGCGTTAGAAACAGTCTAAATCAACGATAATATTTGTTGTTCATCAGAAAGATTAAACTTCATATGAGGTTGTTATGTTTACTATTTAGTGAGTATAACAACGCTCTAATTATATAGACATGGTGAAGTAAGTCTAGAAAATATTTAGTTCAATTTAATGTGTCAGTATGAGTTTCAGGCTTTGCTTTACTTATTACCATTAGTGCAAACTATATAAGTACACATTGAGGTAAGAGAAAAAGAGATATGCTTATAAATGTGTTTAAATTTACAGTAAGCAGCATGACAGTTTTCATTACTGCTGCCGGGTGAACGTGTAACATCTAGTTGTTGTTCGTAATATTATTATTACCATCATCACCACCTCATTTCTCTTTCTGTGGATAGCCAAAAAAGTGCCTTTGTCAGGGAAAGCTATGGTTGGAGGTGTTTTAAATTTATTTGGTTAATGCAAAAACGTCAACTGTACCAACTGTATTTAAATGATGAAATAACGCTCAGAGCATCATGGGGTGCTACAAAATGAGCGAAACTAAAGTAAAAAGCTGTGTTAATCCTCCACTATCACTTCAACGAATTTTCCCCTTCGAATACATCAGAAATCTCTCACAAACTTGTAGTCATCTGTAAAATGCATATGTATGTATAAACAAATACATTTTAAAATGTTATTATCTCTAATACGTTTGCCCCAGTAAAATGTACTCTAAGAGTATATTTCAAATTTTTCGTTTTGTCAAAATAATTTTTTTTTCAATATGCGCACCTTTTATGCGTACTGATTTTAATACGCCAAACAATTATTTGAATAATTATTTACCGCAATTCAATTTAGTTGTTCATAACAACATTAATATTGGTAAAATATTACATCAGTAATAAGTACATGTATCAATAATGATTATTTAGAAATTATTCGCCTATATATATTTTTAATATTCTTATTAGTATGTAAAAAAAAATTAAGTATAATAAAGTATACTTATTAAACAGGAAGATTAATAATTTGTAAACGTCCAAAAGAAGTTAGAATATGCAAACTATTTACTTCATGTTTCAATGGTACTTTTTATATGCTAAAAAAATAGCATTTCTATCAAAAGTAATAAATAATTTGTAAACGAGTAAGTTATAGTAGAGATTAAAAATAAAGAGTATGACATGTTTAAGCGTAAAAGTCGTCCAGAAATGAGAGTCAGTACGTCTAGGGAGCTATTACTACGTTTTCTTTATGTTCAGCCACCGTCTACATTAAAGAGGGGGGTGCAGAGGGAAATTCAAGTATTATTGCTACAATAAACATATTTTTTCCGTTATCCATGGTACAATAAAAGTCACTCCCTACTTACTGCGTCTTATGGTCTAATCAACATTTACGGCATCCATTACCCAAGTTTTTCATTACTTTTACACGGCCCCAAGCATAGCTCTAGTTGTATACATTTAGAGCTACGTTTCAGCAACAGATGTTATCATTTTTATCTTAAGTATTCCGTTCAACATATCCATTTAATCACCGAAAGGTTCACTAATTTCAAACATTATGCATTTTCACTACAAAGGAGACTGTACATTTAATTGTATATTTTCTAGCTTAGTCTCATAATAAATGTACTACAAATGAAATAGAATCAAATAATATGTATGTCAAGTTATATTTTTTTTTAACTCGTTTCTGATTATAGAACATAAATATTATATTTTTTATTTATCAATCAAATTACTCCTTTTAAAAGTGGATATATCTAGTTGTTATAATAAGCCAATCAATTATTTATCAACAAATAATAGCAGAGTTAGTTTATTATAAACGATCAATGAAAAATTATATTTCATCATTACATATTTTTATAGAAAACGAATAGTAATAAGCTATGAACTGCTAAAATGTTTTCGACTATAATTGTTTCTTGATAAATAATATTTGCAATATATATATTATAGCAACTTACAAAAGATTAAATATAGTTTTTTTTTTTCTAAAAATTATTTTTTTGAGGATTAAATAATTTACTGGCAGAAAAAATATATTAACACTTTGTTTTAGAAAAAAAAAGTGCTCTCTGAAAATGTTATCAAATTGACAGAATAGTCTCATAGACTATGAATTATGAAAAAACTTGTTTCAAAAATTGTTTACAATAATTTAAGTATTATTTGATAAACATATAAAAATAGGGATCTTGCATTAAAATCACTTAAAAAAATATTTAAATGATATCAAAATATTCATTAGTAATAATTAATTTCAATTAATGTAAGCCAATGAATAGGATGAGATAGTTTTTTTAACTATAAAAAATGTAATATTTCTATCAGGGCCATTTCAAGTTACGATGCCAAATAGATTGTTCCTAAGAAAAATATTAAATACAAAGAATTTTAGTTATACAATTATATAATTTGTGATGTTTAAATTATGACCCTGATTTCTAAATTATTGAAAAATGTATATTTAATATAAACTATCGAATAATTGATGTAACTAAGATAGAAGAGTATTATGTAGAATTTGAGTCTTGAATTCATGGTTTGTTTTAAAAATTTAGATTCAAATATTTTCACATATTCCATTAAAATTAAGACAATAATTATTAAATAACAAATTTTTATTTAAGACATATGCATATAGTATAATGAACAATACAACAAGAATTTATTTATTTAATAATACTCTACTTAGGTAAAACTAATTAATATCACATAATAATTTTTAAAACAATTGTCATTAGAAAAGTCTAATTAAACTTTGATTAGTTGAAAATACGATTGTAAAATTATTGCAATAAGGTAAAATGAGGTCGTGTATTATAATTAACAAAATAACCAATAAAGATTTAAGAAATTCTACATCGTAGTAATAAACTTAGCATTAATTCATCTAATTTAACGTCTCAACAGGTTTAATTTTTTGTAAATAAATAAATTATTAAAATTTGATTGTATGTTATATTAGTAAAGTATAAATTTATATAAAATTACTTTTAATAGAACTGTTTATTTTTAAAATACTTAGATTCACCAACCTTCATTATTATTATTTTAACATCAACATTATGATATTTGAAGTGAGAGACCAGGTGATATTATAATGTTTTTATCAATTATTTAACTGAGAAAAGTAATTATGCAAAAATAAGAAATTTAATACTTAAAAAGTAAATTTTTAAATGTAATTTTATATACTATATAAGACTTTTATTTTATTTTCGGATTGAACAATTTTTTTTAAGTCCATCTCATACTCGTAAAATGTTATTATTCTTACAGTAATTTTATTTTTATATTTATATTAACACAAAAATGTCTTTATTATTTTTTCTTAAAAAATTTAAAAATAACCATTCCATGAAAATTTAATATTATTTTTATTACTGTTGTAATATTTATGCGACACAGCGTGTTTTAAAAATGTTCTTTTATTTTATGCTACATATTTATGAAATTTTTAGAATATAGGTTTTAATATTATTTAATCGACAGTTGCATCAAACATAACAATAATATAATTAAATTTAAAAAAATATACAATGATTTTACAGTTTTGTTGAATTGAAAATGCTTTTTCGCCAAAAGTTCTAAAGAAAACAACACTTACATTCATAATATTACTTTATACACTATAAATTCTAAAACAACAATATTGGTAGTAAAAAAGTAAAAAACAAAAATTCAAATCGGGACCGATCGAGGAGCAAATATTTTATGTACATATAATCGCCTACATCTAGTCTCCACAGTATTGTGGATATTATTAACCGACTAAATTTAATACCATATAAAACAATATGCTTATCACAGTACTTGACAAAACTTGCTTTTATTTTTAACCGGAGTACTTGTCAGTGGCGTAGGAGTTGGTTTCGTGTAAGCAGTCGTAGTTGCTGGTGATGTAAACGCTGGCAACGAAGCCGAACTTATCATTTTAGTTTTATGATCGGTTATAACACTATTATCTTTTTCTAATGTACGTCCACTTCCACTTCCACTGTTGTAATACAGAGATCGACTTACTCGATTCCTAAACGATCGGCTCACTGTAGTTTTTTTCCGGTAGCTGGAGAATTTAGCACCGTTTCTCTGGAACGTTGAGGTATTCAGATTAAGATCGACATCCTGTAAAATAAACAAAGTGATACATTATTATGGTTTTTTAGATAAAAGTCGCAGTTATTGCTTTACCAATCACTACTCGTTAGTGAGGGTGTGGTCCAATATAATTAATTATAAATGTGTACTAAAGGAATAAATCAGCACAAATTAACTGCAGCTAATCTTTAAAATTTTATCTCACGTCAAATTAATTCCACAAGTTTTATTTAAATACAAAAATTTTACAAATTTTTATTATATATCTCTATTTTTTAGTGTAAATGGTATTATTTTTGTAAAAATGACACTTGTGAAAATATGTTTCTCTTTGTGCATACGACTTTTTCTTAGGTTCATACGTTTTATATAATAACAAAAAATAAAATTCTTAAAATTGCGCTATTAAATAAAAACTTACTGGTTTCTAATATATAAGATATTGTTATCTCTAAAACAATATTTGTTATTTTGTGTAAAACCAAATTAAGTACACTATTTTGTTTTTTTCATTAATAATTGTGTTATATATAAACGTGTCAATACTGAATGAATTAAAAATAATTACTTAAACCAACCACAAAAAAAGTCAAAACCTCTTAAATTCCATTTCATGCGAGCACTTGAAACTCTTCACTGTATTGACACTATATTGACTATCCATTGTTCATTATTTTTATATTACAATAATTTTATATTTAGTGGTAAGATATTTAAAAATATACTTATTGTATACAAATAAAAATCACAATGATCTATTTAACTAAGCAATTTATCACATTTTTTAAACTACGTACTGGTAATAACAAGTTTTAAATATTGAATTGAACTCATATTAATTTTTATTTTACAATTTATCTAATTAATGAAGATAATCAAAATTATTCTTATTTGATATTTTATATCCAAAATAACTTAAAAAATGATGGGATTTACATAAAAAACATTATTATAATTTATAAATAACTTTTACGTTTTTAATTTACATACATTTTTTATTCAACTTAGTTTTCATGTAATACACCAAATTCAAAAATGAAGTAGTAAAAAATACTGTAACAGATGCTTAAAAAATACTATTTAATTTTTTATAAAAATTTCAAACATAATTTGAAATACAAATAAAACAAAATTAAATTAAAAAAAAAAAAAAAATTTGGTAAACAAAAATCAAAAATTATATATACCTTAATTAGGTATGTTTACCAAGTTTCTTACTAACTTTTGTATTGCTTTTCTTCGTTGGATGATTACTTTGCGACTTATTTAACGTAGTCACGGTAAATTCTATGTCTTTTGTACTTTGATGGGCTGTAAATAATAATCGACATATTTTACAAAGTATAAATAATTTAAACGAAAAAAATCATTTGACTTACTGAAAAATTCTTCAACTGGAATTTCAATCTTGTCATGATCAATCCATGTTAAACCCATTTCGACTTTTTCTGCCAGGTCCTTCCAATGCTTCAGATTTTCTAAAGTACCCTCATATAATGGTGTGATCCAAGGAAACGTGTCACATAATACCTGAAAATAGTTTAATTAAAGTAGAATTTCGTTTATCATTTATCGTAATGAAATTACTTTATACAATGGCAAACATATGACATCGATGAATTCTACTTGCATCTGAGGAAGCTCGTCTTTTTTTTCTCTATCCATCATGGCCTAAAACCAATACCAATAAAAAAATTTCTATTTATATTTAATTAATCAAGTTTATACAAACCATTGGTTGCTGATTTAGTTGTAATTTTTCCAAGTCACCTTGGTCAAAAAATTCATCAGCCACCAATTTCGCCATTTTATGTTGTACCTCCCACGGTTTTGCTATTGCGCTCACGTCACATGCTGTCATTAAAATACCACATAATACTAGACCATTGAAAAAAAAATGATTAGTTAAATTAGATAACGAAAAAGACATAACTAATAAATTTCATACAAGCCTTTTTTTCTTCACTTTGCCAATCAAATTCTCCATTTTCTACAACTTCCATAAAACGGTTTTTCTTTTTGAAATACATTGCTAAATCTGTGGACAATATTGAGTTTTCTACTAATTTCATAACATTCCGATAATCCTCCGGAGATAAAGCTTGGAATATATTGTTTCCGTCACTGTTCAAAATCATCACACATTGATCAAAGTGATGATGTTCCATAGTACTTGTTGTGTAAAGAATGGCCAATGGTGATTCAGTTTTTGTTTGGAAAGCGTTGTTTGTTCCACGATGATCTAAGTCATGACACAAACATGCTACCAGTAGTCCTAGAATCTAAAGTATGCACTTGTTTTTTATAAACTCTGAGAAAATTTACTTAATTTTAATTACTAAAACTATATCTTAACTATAAATAATAAAATTATTTTAATATAAAAAATAATAGAAACTAATATTTTGTAATTAGAAGATTAAACCGAATTATTAATATGCATTTTTTTAGTAAAAATGTTCTAAAATAAATGATTTCTAATGATACCGTTTTGAATATTTTTGTAATAATCCTGCAACTATTTATGTAGATGTATGTTCTATATTTTTATGACAGCTCAATTGGCTTTAAAGTGGTTAACACACTCTTACTTCTTGAGATTCAAAGAGTATGTGGATTATTTGATCTCATCTCTAGAATCGAGTAATATTGTTAATAGCTAATAATTGTAAATACCTCTAAATCACTCATAAATCTTTCCATTTTCCCAGTTTTCAACATTGCAAACATTGTTTGTGCTACATTAAGCGCATGTCTCCAGTTATGATATTTCACAGGTCTATAATTCTTTCTCACGCTTAACACCCATTTACAAAGTACCTATATAAATCATATTTGTCAACATAAAAAATGTATAAATGACTGGAATTTATGTCATTGAACCAGTAACGACATCTAGCGAAGAAAATCAATGTAATATCCTTACGTGATATGGAATTTGAAACTTCTGCACTAGATTACACTCTAAAAACATTCGGATTGTAGCTTTACACGTATCGTCATCCGATAAATCAAAATCAATGAATTTAAAGCTAAAAATTAATATTATTTTTTCATACAATAAGAAAAAAATGTATTGTGTAGATGATTAATTTTACCTATATAAATTGTATATCTCTGCTGATGGAATCGTATCTTGAGTTAATTTTATTGTATCATCAACAGATGCTGTAGCATGATATGATAGACATTCAAGTGCTACTTTTTGTTTAGCCATAAGTTTACCTGTTTTCATAGTTAACCAATTAATAGATCGCATAATTTAATATTTAATATTAACTTACATGCACTTTCATACATCTGAGTATTATGAATTCCCAGTCCACAAAATATCGCAAACGCTTCAAATGTAGCTACATCACAATCAGTAAATGGCGTTCCTGTTTCCTAAAATGAACATTTATAATTTATTATTATGGCAATCAATGGCCAAACAAATATGAGTAAAAATATATCGCATAGTATTTGCACGATCTTCTGTAACTTAAACATATTTCTAACATAATGAATTTTGTTCCATTCGGATAAGTATAACACGATTTTACAAAAAATAAAAGATAATATTTTATATTTATATTTAAAAAAAAATTTTTTTGTCTAATTTGTGTTTGAAGTAACTTCTGTTGTTGATTTGCTCAAACCACGATAATTAAAAAAGATTTTAGCAAAAATTTGTTTCCAGAACTTTGTTGAATTATCTTTATTTTGTAGGTGCCACCGTTATAAAGTATATTTAAAACTTTTAATTTCTAAAATATTTTTTAATTGTAATCAATGAAAATAAAGGACGCCACAATTAATCAACAAATATTCAAAATACTCTTGTATTTCATAGGAGTGTTATACAGGTTGTATGCCTTTTCCCATAAAATCAGAAAAATTCCGTCTTTAATTATTAAGAAAATATAAAAATGTATGAAAAAGTCATAACACACTTTATTTAAATTTTAGAAAGTTAAAACAAGATACTACAATGTATCTAATTTTTATAATTATTCAATAGATAACAACACATGGTTGATCGTTTTAAATTTTATAATCATTTGATAATTCTATTGTTCGTTTAAAACTAAGTCGATAAATTTGTTTGTAAATCAATTTTTGTTTTGTTTTGATCAAAAGAAAATACTTTTTCTATCCAACGTTTGAAAAATGTTATAATTATTTTATATTCAATGTCAAGCACTATGTTTCAGATAGAAAAAATGTTTAACCTTATTTATAAGCTGTGCTACGCCAATGACATCAGTTTTTCCATTTAAAATTGGCATGCACAATATTGATTTGATTGGCACCTCAGGTGTACCATTACCATCGTCACTTTCAACACTGGGCTGTCTATCTAATACTTTGGCCCACATTTGCACATCTGGTATATTAAGAACCTAATAAGCAAATTGATTTAAAAAAAAAAATCTAAAACAAATAAAGCATAAATGTCTCAACTTGAACAGAGGCAGCTACTTCATGGGCTATTTGAAGCAATTTAGAGGGTTTAAGAGCTTTGTTGATTTTCTTGACATCGTGTTGAGAACCCAATTCAAAAGCTATTGTAAATTTTATTTCCTACAAATATATCAGGTTTAAGCTTTTAAAACTTAACAACCAGATGTTTGAATTTTTACCTTATGTTCCTTGGAAAAAGGCATATCTCCAATCATAGTGTCAAAGCTCTATAGAATAAACAATAGTATATCGTTAAATGTTTTATATTTTCAATAAAAAGTAAAAATTATATCTTATATTTTATAAGTTGAAAACAAATTACGTTTTTATTAAAGATTTTTTTTTCGAGGGAATAATTTACTGGTTTAGCTCCAAAGTGCTCCAGGTGACTCTAGACGAAAAAATATTAATTAATAAGTGCTTGAATAAATAAAGTTAAGTTGACGAAATTATTTTTCAACGTACAGCTTCTTCGCATTCTAAGTCCAACAAAAATACCACACATCGCTCACATTTAATCAAGTCTCTGGCTTGAGTCATGATTTTAGACACTAAACATTCCAAATTGTTTTGTTCTTCAAAAATGCTTCGGGCCAAACCCAATAACATCTAGGTACATGCACATAAATAATAATTTTTAAATTAAAATTGTGTTGTGAATCATTAAATTTTGAGAATCCAGTGCTCTATGTATCTTTTTTAGTGCCCTTTACTCATTTGCATTGTACTACCACAATAAATTATTTCGATAAAGTGAAATGACTCGGAAGAAACTTTATAGCAAGTTATTCGTGAGATAAGTAAAAAGTTTCTAGTGCCCGAAACCATTGTGTATAACAGAATGAGAGACGGCTATTAACTGATAAACCTTGAATATAAAATATATGCACCATAGAATTCTTCACTTAACTGACGAAGTAATAAATCATTTGATTATTAATGAAGCAACCCGTAAATTCCAACCGGTAAGCTAAGCTCAAAATGATTTTCTATCTTTTCAGTATTGAAATAATTTATATATGATGATTACTATTGTGATTTTAATACTATTTATATTGTATTTTCAATAAAATCGTAGATTTACTTTTTGTACCGAGTTATAATATTCAATAAAAAATTATCTCAAAAACAATTGTACTACACTCAAATATCAACTTGATATTTTTTTTCATTTTAAAAGAGTGTTATTTTTAAATAATAGATTATTTTTTAAATGAATTTTACCTATAATATTAACTATTTAATAGATTTTTTTGTAGTTTCAGATCGTACATTTTTATTGTATACTTACAATGAAAAGTATTTATTAGATTGAATTTATCTATAAGTTATTCCGTCATAGGAATAATCAATAAAACAGATTAAAGCGTAAGGAAGACTATAAATAAGAAAAAAATAAATTATGTACAACAGCAACGAGGCATAGTCATCTTTTAATCGCACTAGTGGTACACGATAAAAATATCAATATTATTTTATTGTTATTTTTCTCATTACCTGATTCCTTTGGAATTCCTGAACAGATTTCTCAAACAATTGAGCATTTTGTATTCCAATAGCGCAAAACGTTAGATACCTCTGGAATATCTATAAATCATTAACAAAAACCAAGTTGTATTATCGAATTAATATTAGACCAAGACAACAAACAGATCTCAAAAATTTAAGCTAATAAAAAATTAGTTGATAACTGTTAATTAAATAAACATACTTCAACATCATGTTCTGTAAACGAATTGCTGCCATCAGTCTTGTTGATTATTTGAGCTACACCGATAACATCGTTATCGTAGTTGCAAATCGGCACGCACAGAATCAAATTTGTCGTGTAACCCGTTCGGTGATCGATTTCTCGATTAAACCTTGGATCCTAAACAAACACAAGCCAATAATTGAAAAACGAGAAAAATACTATAAATAAAGCTGCAGTTGGGCTTTGGTTAGGTTGATGTTAATTCGATTTGCTATGTTATAAAAACTGCTTTGTACTATCTATTGAAAATAAAATAAATTAAACCTATACAAATATTCCTGATTACTCTCGTTCAATTAAAAGTCTACACTAGACTTAAACTTTTACTGTTCTAGCTCGCAAAAGTACATATTAACCTTAGAATTATCAGGGTTAATGAAAATCCTAGCAAACAAATGATACTAAAACAGAGTTCAACAAGGATTTATATTTTTAAAAATTCATAATGGTGTTTCACAAACAAAATATTTATAGGTTTTTTTTATTAAAACTATTAATTTTATGTGCTAGAATATTTTTCAAGTTTATTTAAAATAAAATACGTTACTTTGATGTAAAACAACTATAAACGTATTTTCTTTGTCTAAATTTTCATCTAATATAATTTTGAAGAATAACTATTTTATATTTCATTTAACTTAACAAATTCATATCAAAAAAAAAGTTTATGCACATTTTTTGCTTCTAAAGGAAATAAAATCATATTTAAGATACATTCAAAATGATCTTTATTTACATTGAGTTATAGTTAGCTAATATTGAATATAAATTTTAACTAACCCCAATTTTGGTTAACATAGAAAATTATTGATATTCTTTGATACATCGAAAATACTATCAAACAAATTTTGAATGTAATTTTTTCTTTAATATTATTGTATAATTCTAATAAATAATATAATGAACTTGTTAGAATAATTATGGCGGCTCATTTAAGAGATTTTATTGGATCTGAATGAAGTATTTTTCTATTTTATTGTCAAGGTGAATAAGTAATTTTTTTGTTGATTAATGTATATCTTATATATAATATATATATACTCTTAATTTATATATATATTTTCAAATGAATAATATTCATTAATAGTTTTAAATAAATTAAAAAACTTTTAAATCATATTCTGACATTTTCCTTAAAAATTATTCACTAAAGCGTTTAAAAGCTGATCATTAAAAATAATTAAGTCAAATCAATTGTTTAAAAACAATAGCATCATTTGAATTATATGTATATATATTTTTAATAACATTTCATAATATTTACAATCAGTGTAAGGTTATAGAATACACAAATTTAATACATATGTATACAAGGTATTTAGATGACAGTGATTTGTGTAAACGTATAAATAACATTAAAGTCCCTTTATATATATAATAGTAGATTTGTGATGTCATTTTGTCATGTTAAATTTTTGCGATGTTATTATTTTAACGCTAAGTATTTCAAAAAGATTCTCTTTATTAATTTTTGGCATTATTCACAAAAATAAAAGAATTAATAATTTTAGAAAATGTTGATATTAAATTTCACAATACTTTCATAACCGTAATAAATTCATAACAATATTAACCAAAGACAGATTTTTAAGGCGTTATTGAGTCGTATGTATTTAATACCATAAAATAATTTACATAAATTTAAAAAAATACACCAGAACTGAATAATTTAAAAGTTAACTTCTATTTTGACCTTAATTTATGTTAGAGTATGTTATATCTATTTATCATATTAATAAAACTTATTCATTTTGATTATTATCGACATTCAAATTAATATCTTCACAATATCGCCTAACTTATAAATTTATATTATATTATTTTGCATTTTTATTTATTTTAACTATGTTAATAATTGTATGTAATGATATCTATTATTTACTCAAATTTTTAATCTGTTCTGTAAAAACACATTATTTACTTACACAATTTAAATATTATTATTTTTTAAAAAAACTATTAAAAATTTGTACCGTGTTACTAAATTACTGATCAAACGAATTTAAATTTAAAATAACTATGTTGCAGCAAACGAGTTGTAGCTACAAATGTGTAACATACATACTAACCGGATTATCCTTTAGATGTTATAAATGTGTCATTTATAAATTCAATCATACACTAATAATAGTGATTAATTTTAAGTATTTGTACATCAATAACCTTCCTACTTATTTTAATTTAGACCAGTTGACAGTTGTTATTTTATGCTTAACAATACAAATATCAGTCTACTGTGAACGTAATTTTTAATATACTAACAAAATATAATGACAATATTTTTGTGCATGAAAATCGAATTTTTAACATATAAAAAATGATAGTAAAACTTTATCAGTATATTTAATAGTATAAAATATAATTAACCTGATATGCATTTTTTATGTTAACGACTTGTTTAGTTTCTGCTACAGCTCCAGCCACCCCAACTCCAAACGGTATAAGTATTTCTTCTGATTTTGCTTTATGTATCGCATCAGTTATTTCTAAAAATAATAATTAAAAAAACAATTATGAAAGTTTTAATTTATAGAGATATAATTTAAAGTGATATTATGCCATTATAATACTATTATAACTCATTTTACTTATTAAAACGTTTTCTTATGACATAAAATAAAACCAAATTTCTGCATTAAAATAAATGTTAAAACCAGGATTATGCTTAAATGTCTTATTTTTATTGGAAAGCCTATACAGAGTTTTATTCAATGTTATAACCACTTCATTTCTTTTTTAAATAATAAAAAAATAATTTTTGACATTTTTCAGTTTATTAATTATTAAGTACTTTTTTTGTTCATCCTTTTTACCTATTAACGATGTCAACTCTAATTTTTCAAATATCAACACACATATTTAATTAGCTTATAAAATAGAAAATGATCTAATTTAGAAAACGACCTGTCGATAAAATCTTCTGACCCACTAATTCAAAAGCTCTTACTTTTTTAAAATAAAAACTGGAATTGACTGGAAAATCAATACATAATATTAGACATTTCTCAAACATACCCCTCTTCCTACTTTGATATAAAAATGTTAATAGCTTTTGAAGTACTGAAAGCACAAAAGTTGTTATTGTCCAGTCATTTTCTTAATTAGATCATTGTCTATTTTATAAACTTGTTAAATATGTGTGTGACTGTTTACAAAAATACAGTTGACACTTTTAATACGTATAAAGAATGATCTAAAAAATTATATAATAATTAATATTTCGAAAAAAAAAANCTTCCTACTTTGATATAAAAATGTTAATAGCTTTTGAAGTACTGAAAGCACAAAAGTTGTTATTGTCCAGTCATTTTCTTAATTAGATCATTGTCTATTTTATAAACTTGTTAAATATGTGTGTGACTGTTTACAAAAATACAGTTGACACTTTTAATACGTATAAAGAATGATCTAAAAAATTATATAATAATTAATATTTCGAAAAAAAAAAATGTATATATATTAATGTATAAATGTGTGTGTGTGTGTGTATGCGTGGAGAGAGTGCTTACAAGGTTTTGACATCTTTATCAGTTATAAACAATAAAAAATATGTTTTAAACGTAGTCTAAGAAAGCAATAAGTAATTAAAAAATATATCAACAAAATGATAGTTACATCAAAAATTGTAAGTGTTTTTAGATGGGTCTGAAACAACCTTTATTGACTTAAAACATATCATTTTTTTTAATAAATATTTAAATTAAAAGAAATAAAGAACTAACTAGTTATAACTTAACATTTTCAAAAAAATAAAACAAAGTAATAGATTTATCACATGTATTCCTTACAGAGAAAAAGGATACCTGTTGCCTGGTGCACAGTCGCAATCTGTTTACTTTAAAATAAAATTCAAATAAAATAAGAGTGTATCACTGTGTACAAGTGGTGTACATGGTTGATTTATGTTTATCCAACAAAGAATGTGTATATAAGATTGATAGCTTTCTTGTTCACACACGCTACCATGTGTCCAACGCATTACCTGACAACAATGAACTTTTAGGCGGGTTATTGTGTACAAGATTCGAACCTTTTTACAATAACTTATATTCTTTCGGCAAATAAAAAACTATACGAGTTTTGTGGAAATTTTGATGATACACTATTGGTTTTATAAAGAATTTCAATGAATAAAACTAAGAACTATAATAGAATATTTATTTAACCTAATTAAAAAATAATAATAATAATTTAATGAAAAATTCACATTACAAAAACTTCTTTAAAATTAGAAACGATTTTTATATTAGTTCTATAGAGTTATGTCTATGGCAAAATGTCTCTATATTTAAAAATATTGATATTATTTAACAACTTCAACACACTCAATGTTAAATTCACTGAATCGTTGATTATGAAAAAGTTCTATGAAGATTTAAATAATTCAAATGATAATTAAACATTGATTGTTAAAATCATAACTCTAGAATATTTTTACACTTCCATCGTATGAAATAGGAACTCTTTTCTACTGAATTTTCAGAACAAAAGACAATTTTTCTCCTAATAAATTTACAATTCGAAATAATTATATTTCGATTTAATTCAAATGTTTGGCATTTTTATGAAAACAGTATGTACTTAAATAAGCTTATTTTTATTCATATAGCTATGAATATTTTTTAATATTAAAATTTACACAAGTATACATTCACTACAAACTTATGAGTTTCAAATCAATATTGAAAATTGCATATCGGTAGTATTACTTGGGTCCATTTAATAATTTACAATATGATATTTATAAGCACTTTACAAAGCTGATAAGTAATTTTGACTATAATAAAATTGATGTGTCGCCAATTTATGGCTCTTCTCTTTTACTAGCTTTAAAAAGTTACATTTGAATTTTATTGCACTATGACATTCAGTAGTAGTCCCATTAGAATATTTGTCGTATACCTATGCAACAATACGTTGCACAATTCTATGAAGCAATAACGTGGTAATTTTTTTCTTTTTAACAGTATTTAACATTTTTATGTTATTTCTGAGATCCTTAAAAAACTTTGTACTCAGTTAGTTTTATTGCTGCGGTTTCAACTAGCGTTAACTAAATGTGATGTCGGTCATTGTGTTAGTAGGGAACTATTGATTTTCCATTATCTGTTGTATAGTTTCTCATTTCTGTCTTGTGTCTAACCAACCTATTAGAAAATAAGAACAATAATATCTAATATCACATTTTTGGATTTTCTTGACAAAGATTAAGGGTATGTGATACTGGACATAAAATATTTTCCATAGTGTTATTGGCTGTTTCTTTAACAAGACAGTTCAATCAATTGTCGATATGTATGAAACAAATACAATAAAAGTATAACGATGTTATACTGTTAATATAAACACTGAATGTAATAATTCTGAATAACAAAACCACGAATAATGCATTGTCATGTCAAATAAATGATTTTTGTATACTCTGTATCTGAATTATAAATTTACTTTCTTCTTTATTAAAAAATAAAAGTTTATCACAAAGACGTATTACGTACAATATGTGGTATTTATTCTGTAAAAATTACACAGACTTTTTGGTTTGTGCGATACGCATATTTAAGTGGTTGTTTTTAAATTTCACGTTTCCCTCGGTTACCATTTTATAAAGTTCATTTAATCACAACTTGGCGCTGATCCTAACGTACATTATCGTAACATATTAAAAACGTCTTAGACATACATCGTCCCGAAATACATAAAATTACGTCATAAAACAAAAAAAAGAGTCAACTTAAAATTGAATTAAATATCATTAAATAATCTCTAGTTACTATATTACAAGTTCTTTTTATAAAAACAACAAAAAGAGAAAATGATAAAAGAAGATACAAAAAATGTATTTATTTTTCTAGTTCACATTATCAAGGGTANCAAAAAAAAGAGTCAACTTAAAATTGAATTAAATATCATTAAATAATCTCTAGTTACTATATTACAAGTTCTTTTTATAAAAAACAACAAAAAGAGAAAATGATAAAAGAAGATACAAAAAATGTATTTATTTTTCTAGTTCACATTATCAAGGGTAAAACTTACATAATAAAAAATATAGTGATGATAAGATAATTATTTATTTTTAATACACAATAAAACTGGATAAAATAGTAATTTTTTATAAATATAAAATTGAATTCAAACTTTTGGGTAAATTATTTAAAACTGTCATACAAACAACCAGAACATTGTTAAACTCATAATCCTTTATTACATAAGGGAAATAATGGTTATTTAGGTCAAAATAATTTTAAATTAACGTTAAACTATGTCCCTTAAAATCCTTAGATAATTTCACATAAAAAAGACAAAATTGAACATAGGCTAGCTTATTCTGACCTAAATAACAATCATTTCATTTGTGGAATTCTAATATACACAATAAAGTGTCATAATATTTTATAAGGAAACAACAGTTTTAATATAAACTTTGTTTTGAAAAAAATAATGTGAACCGTTTGAATTTTGTAAGAAAAAACTTATAGTGATTTTTATATAACATTAGCTTATTGTGACTTAGTTAATTTGATTGCTTAAAAAAATTATGAAGTGTTAAATTAAAATGTTTAGACTAACCGGTATCTACTGTAACATCAAAGAGCTTTGCCACCAGGTATTTTCCTTTCGCTAAGAATAAACTTCCACGATCAGCTCTGGTAAGTAAGCCAACATTGACCAGAATTTTATGACACAAAACGTCTAAATCCAGTTCGTTGGAAACATCTCGAATAAGCTCCATGAATAATTCTCCTTCGTCCAACAGTCCCATATGGTGTTTCCATTCGGCACTGCTTCTAGTAGCTCTGCAAAAACATTAAACATAGTTATAATTTAAATATGTATTATTTATTTTTATTACTTAAGTTTTAATAGTGAAAAAAAAATTTATTATAATACAAATTTGTCAGAAAAAACTTGATTTCATTAAAAAAAAAAAATTATGTAGTTTTCACATTGAACATTGCTAGTATACCAACAATTTCGCCAATGAACAAGTCAATGGATATAATTTAACTATGAGCGATGGTTAAAGTGATTTGCATAATTCACACTTAAGATGCGGTGATTTCGATTTGAAATAACCCCAAAACCAAATTAACGGTAGTCGCCCGTAATCAAACATTATTGTGTCACGTAAACATTGATGATTTAAATACCTAAACCAGATTAGAACGTCACTCATAATTAATAGTATTTACTACTTGGAATAATCTAAATTTAAGACCGTTCTATGTACAAGGAAGTATATGCTTATGTATTTATTCAAGAACCAAAGTTATTAAAAAGAAGAAACTTGTTTCAAAGAACCACAAAAATACTTATAATCTAAACTTATTTGTAACGGACAATTAAAAATTGTATTTTTAATAGTAAATATCAACATCAGACAAATAAATGTGGACATTTTTTATGTTAAGATTACTAAAAAAATAGTCCAAATATGTAAACAATAAATATGTGGTTATTGGGAAAAAGCTTTTTAGAGAAACTAGCCAAATTTTTTCTATAAAAACTGTCATTTACAGCTACAATTGACTGTAATTCTGTATCATTTAAAAAATAATTATGAAAATTAAAAATTTTACTTTATAAAAAATATATACTTATGAAAAAAGTATAAAAAATAAACTATTTAAATCATATAAAATATTTATCAGACGTAGCACTTCTTAATGTATTTGTATTTACAAATATTTATTTAGTCTTGAGATATTTTGAAAAAATAGCCAAACAATATTGTGTTAACAATATTGCTACAAACATATTTTATTCGATTAACTTAATTTTTTCTAGGGTCATTTAAAAATAATAAAACTTTTTATAATAAAACCAAAAAGAAGAAATCCTTGTCAATTTTATTTTGTTGTTTTACATTAAAAGTTCATTGAATTCCGTGAAATATAAGTACATAAACTGTAACTTTATATATGAAGCCATAAAGAGAACTTTATATTTTGTAAGTATCAATTTAGTTGAAGTATTTTCTTCAAAGAAACTATATTTTTAAAAGCATAATATCTGTTATACTACAATAATAAATGCAAATTATAAAATATAATAATTAATAATTGAGTATTAATTCAGTTCGTACAAAAATATTTCAGTATTTACCGTTAAATAATTTTTTGAACTTAATTTTTTTCTATTTCTTACTTTTAAATGAACTGTAATTATTTCATAAAGACAGCTTGAACTATTATCATTTTAACTTTAATCTTACTTTAAATTTAAATTATTAATCACCAGTAAAAATTTGAAAAGATAGTTTGCATTTCTTAAAATACAGTAACATAGTACATATGTCATGAATAATTACAATAGAATTATTGATGTATTAAAAGTGTTTTATCAAAATTAAAATAGTAAAGACAACAGTAATTATTCATATCACCATGATACTTATATAATTTATCAAATTACCTATTGGGAGATTTTGATCTTTTTATCGGAGAAGAGGCTAACCATGTGTTGAACATTTCGGATGTCATCGATGCTCGTTTGGCCCGACCAACCGATAATGAGCCACCTCGATGCTGGAGCCGAGCCCGAATCACTCGTTCCACAAGGTCCTGTGGCGCTTTCTCGCATAACCATCGTTCCACTTCTTCTGGATCTAAATCCATCGTCACCTTGTGCCTGTCACACCAACCCGGTGTGCGTCCTCTGCCCATAAATCATCATAAGGCCTCTGAAAAAGGTTCATTAATTAATAATTAATCTTGTTTTACAGTATAGATCAAACAAAAACATTTAATGTCTAACGTTTCATTAACATTTAACTATATTTTTTAGGTTAGTACATTCAGTTCACCTAATCTAATTTTACCGTATATTTTACCTTTTAAGTATAATAAAAAAATATTAGCAGTTTTAATTATTTAAGTAGTTAGATTTCAAAAAAAAAATGTTTAAGTATATAATATTTTTAAGTGTATACCATATATGAGTAATTAATGCATATTCATAATCGCATCATTTAAATAGTGTAAATTACACTATTTGTGCAAAAAATTTATATTAAATGTTCTACACATTATAAATCTACAAAGCTAAATAACATTATTTTACAAGAGAAAATTCCATAAGTTCTGGACATAAACTATGCATATTATTATAATACTTAAGGCGTGGATTAAGTTTCGATGAATATACATAACTTTGTTGTTCAAAATATAATTTATTATACAAAAAACAATCTCACGTCAAAATTTCGGCTTTGTGAAAAAACCTTAACAAACCAATCATAACTTTTATAACATAAAATACAATCAAATATTCAATCAATAAGTAATCTTCCGAAAGCGTTTTATGAGTAAAACACAATTCTGAATATGAAAATAGGCTAAAAATAAATCTTCAGTTTGAAGAAAAGATCAGAATTTTCAATATTTTGAAGTTTTGTTCAGTGTTATTTTTAAATAAATATTGTGTTATTAATTTTATATCAATTTGAATATTTTCTTTTTAAATAGTATCTATAAACTTCAAGAACATTTTGAAGTGGATAAAGAAGAGTATAAAGACCAATGAAAATTGTTAAACATTTATTTTAAGACTATCTTAAAAGTATTATGAAACATAATTCCTTTTATATTGCCAATTATTCTAATTAAAACCAACCCCAGTTTTTTTTCATACGACTGTTTCGAATTAATTTTATAATACGGAGTTTTTTAATGCAGTAATATACAGTTTCTAACTTTGAACTTTTTATGAAAAACGAAAGAATTAATAATTTATGAAATCGAGTAATTCATTGTCTAGCGCTAATTACCAAAACAATTTTAAGATGATTAATTATAATGTAATAAATTACATTTAATAAAGCAATAATTAAAAACGTGATAAATTTAGAACTCAAAGAATAAAAATTGTTTATAATATTNAAGATGATTAATTATAATGTAATAAATTACATTTAATAAAGCAATAATTAAAAACGTGATAAATTTAGAACTCAAAGAATAAAAATTGTTTATAATATTACAACTGATATAGTTATATTACAGTTATTATACTTAACATTAAAATATTATATTAATATAATAAAAATTAATTCTTCTTCTTTTTCCTCGCTTAAATACCATCTACTTGGTGTCGACTAATAATATAATAATAATTAAATGTATTTGTAAATGTACTATAAAGTTAAAATTATGGACAAGTCTCCAAAAATATGATAAAACACTTACAAAATGAAATCCAATGATAGTATATTTAAAGAATTGTTCAGTAATATTCAATTAACTATTATTACTTAAATTTAATAAAAACGTTTAACAATATTAAAAATAATTTCAGATGAAATAATCTATTTATTTTTCAATAATTAGTATGACTAAAAAGTAAGACAATTGTAATTGATGGAGTGGTTTATGTACATTCTAATTTCAGTACATAATGCTAAAAATTGTAAAATTATATTTAAATAAATTGAAATTCATTTTTATTGATCTTCAAATGATAAATAAAAATTCTGGTTGTGTTTTTACAAATTATAAGAGTTAAGTATTTATGATAATTGAATAATTTAATATGTATGTTATCATGACAAACCTGTCTAGATCGTGTCATTAAAGATGTATTTCAAATGACTAGTTAATACTTAATTATTTTACAGCTAAATAAAATTTGTTCATAAAAAGGTCAAACACATAAAATAGCGAATATATTTTAATTCTTTAAGGAAGGATGCGTGATTACTATCAAGTCACAGACCTTGTTTTTTACACGCATTTCGTGAGTACGGTACGTTATTCATTTCAAAACATTTGTGAAAATTCAACCTTTTTTACACACATACATTTTGGTTTTAGAATTTTAGTTGACTTAACTTTGCATTAATTTGAAAGCGAATGAAACAAAAATTCTAATCAAATAAAAAATATCTGTTTTACGAGCATAAGATAAATGTTTTAAATGTTTCAACACATTTCCATATTTTGTTATATTAAATGGTTACTTGATGAAATCAACCATCATAGATTATAGTAAGCGTAACCTAAATAAACCCCAATTTGTAAGTATGTCAAATTAATACCTTTATAAAAAATAGGTAAATAAAGTGGCTAATAATAATCTTTTCATCAAGCTATCTAATTGATGAAATATTGAGATTCTATGTATGTAATTAATTTTTATTATACATGTTGCTCAATTTTTTTTTAGGTACATTTTAGATAAAAAAAAATTAACTTTAATGGTACTTTCAATAATATTGGTTTATAAATTAAAGTAATGATAACGACTAATTGCAAATTATAAAAAATAATAACCAAATTATTATTTGGTGGAAGTATCAAAACAAAACCATTTAAGATTTTATGTTGTTGTTTTTTTAAGGCAAGGACAATCAAATACCTGCACCATGACCTGATTATTTCAATAAATAAAAAGTACATCTTAAAATAACAATCCAAACATTTATAATACATAGTTTATTGACTAAAACCTCCTCATTAGGTTTCAGTGTAACTGAAATACATTACAACACCTTCATACAAAAATCACGGAACTCGATTTTTCAACATTTATTTGAAGAGCAAAAAAGAAAAGAATATTTCATTTTTTTATCAATAACAAAATGAATTTTCAAAATATTGTATTATTGAAAAAAAATTTTTTTTTTCTAAATATTTAAAATATTATAAGTATTTATTTTATCTTTATTTTATTTTTAAGTATTTATTTAATTTATCGGAAAAAAAAATTCGAAATTTTGAATAAGTTTTGTTACCTATTAGAAAACTAATTGTGTTTTCAGAAAAAATCTTTCACATAAAATAATGATAACAGTCAACACAAATATATATATTTTTTAACGTTTATTACCGTTAAAAGTAAAATTTACTTTGTCTAATGTAATTGTACATGTTACGATTTATGTACGCTAATAAATAATTTCAAGTATAAACGACAATTTGTAATCAGTATTTTACGGTCAACAGTATAAGTGCGAACTACATAAAATTATATCTATATTTTAAAACCCCCTACAGTGGAAAAACATGATTTTATACACTGTATGTTATGTGATTTATGCTTACCAAACATTTACAATGAGTATTCCCCTTGTTGGTTGTCATTTTTATATAAAAATAAAAGTAAACTTGTAAAAATACATTTCACATTTCAAAATTTAAAATTTCCATTTGAATAATAAATGAGTTGATACTGTTTGAGATTAACATGTATTTGTATAAAAAATGAAATAAAATTCTAATTGAACATTTTTGATATTACAAACATTTTACGGTGAAGCTTACTTTATAATTTTACTGCATAACTAATTAGTGTTTTAAACTAATTTGTTCTCTAGTTATAATTGTTAATAATTAAGTAATATTTGTAATTTAATTATTCCATTGTAATATACGATAACTCAAAAATTACGTCGCTACTGTTTTATACGAATCAAAAATCTATTGTAATGTACAACGTATTAGCTATGGGTCGAATTCTAAGCAATTTTTAAACACGACCATGTGTCTGATTTCACNTTCTAAGCAATTTTTAAACACGACCATGTGTCAGATTTCAAAAATGATCTTTTTTGGAGCCATAAAACACATTAATCGCCATCGTTATACATCAGACCGTAATTTATCTTTGTCTGTCTCTGTTGTTACGAGGTGTTGTGAGCTTAATTTTCATAGCTTTTGTCAAAACAACAAAATTTAAACTCGATAGTAAGATGACGGAGAGAGAGAGAGAGATTCAGTCTTATATAGACAACGTGCAAATAGAATTAAAATAACAAGTAAGATATATTTGAAAACAAAATACAATTTGATCTAAAAAAAATAATAATAACAGTTTCGAAAACATGCTATTATTTAGTATGTTATACAACAGTTAAACATTATTTTACTAAATAAAGTGTACATACTTTATACAGTATACAACTCTAGAGGTAAACTTTCACAAATCATATTTTTGACAAAAATGTGTTGCGACTATTTTTCAATATTCATTAAATATACATTTCAAAACAAATTTTTGATTGTTTACCACTGATGTACTAAAATACAGTTTCATTACAATACTCGGTGTATAATATACACTAAGTATTGTAATGAAAAATAAAAAGAGAACTTCTAGAAGATAAACTTACTAGTTAATAGTATAAAGTTGAATTAAGAAATATCTTAATATAATTTTTAATTAGCATCGCTAGATAAAATATAATAAACTATTTCAATGCTTCGAGGGTTAGATTAAACAAAATATGATATTACCCTAATAATTAAAAAATCTGTACTTATATTAAAGCTGATTATCTAGAAACCAATTTTATCACTTTATTGGTAAATTAGATATTTATACGCCAAATAAAATAACTTGAACTTTTAATAGGAATTATCTAATATGTTCTTTGTGATAAAAAGAAGTAAAAAAAAAAAAATTATAAAAAAAGTATAGAATTGTAACAATAAAATATTATATTAACTATAGATAAATAAAATATAATTCATACAGAATGAAGAATTAAAAATAAAACACTAATTTTCGGAGAAAAAATATTTGGTTCAATAACAACACTTATATGTAGTAAAATGATTTATTTTTTATCTCTGACGGATAAAAAACCTTAGATTTAATTTTCTATAAAATTATAGAAAAAAAATAATACAAGCAATTATATTCTTAAAATTCTATTTTATCTAATGAACCGTTATAGACATTTTA